GGTGTGCGATATACAGTATATCTTCTGCGATAATATGGTAAGTGTTGTTGTAATGATGTGTGATCTGACATTATCAAGTAGGCTATATGACCAAATCACACACAGAGTGCATGCACAGGATTTATTAGTCTATTAAAACTCAAAGATCCAGGAATTCTAAATTGTAGATGGCAAAAATGTTTCTGTATGCTTTTTATATTTATATAATTTAATATAGTTAACTTAATCTATATCACACAAAGAGTACCGTTTTTCTGCAGATATCACTTGCTGCCACCTACTGGCGGTTTTTATTTCACATTTCATTTCGGCTATTTTTTTAATGTTTTTAAATCATTTCAAATAACAGTATTCAGCGTTTTATGTTAAAAACAAAACATTATTTATTCAGCTGTGACTGCAGGTTAAATGCATCCATGTCCCCGCTGAACTAGGCCTATATTAAACTGTGTAAATACATCTAAATGCTATTTCAGACGCAGATTCCAGAAATGTTTTCTTATGTTGGCATGAAAGACACTAAGTACCGGATGAAGAGCTTCTTATTCTTACCCACAAATACAAAATGGAAGAAAGAGTTAAAACTGAACACAATCTTGCTACTCAAACTGTGTATGAACATTTTATATATATTATTTATGTGCTTCTTTTCCATTTTGCATTTACTTGTACATTTACAAATTAACACTTAAGTACGTTTAAGATTTATAAAATACTTTTCGTACTTAAGTACAATAAATATCACATACTTTAAGACTTTTACTCAAGTAATATTCTAAACGGTGACTTCAACTTCTACCAAAGTCATTTCCTGGTAAGATATCTGTACTTTTACTTGAGTATGGCTTTCAGGTACTTTATACACCACTGAATGTAATTAGTTATTCATTTTCTGGTAAGATATCTGTACTTTTACTTGAGTATGGCTTTCTTTTTTTATTTCATTTATTTATGTATTATAACTAATATGGAAAGGTCATATACACGCACACAGATACGTATAGGTGAAAACCCCATTATAATACAGAAGTCATGCAGCAGCTATAGGACTTAGAGTTGGAACATTATGTAAATGTGTAACAGTACTCTCTTTCTCTCTCTCTCATTTTTGGCTTCAGAGTTTGAAAGAAAACAACTGCTGTTGCTAGGCAAACCAGCATGCCCTGAGTCACCAGCGCCGCACCCTCCACACAAACACAGAGGAACGCACCGCTGCGTCACTTCCTGCGCCAACTTTCCTGTTGTTATTAAGTTGGCTTGAGAAAGTTTATTATTAGTGGTGCTTGCCAAAGGCAAGGCATCACTATTGTTATCTTGCATACTTATTCTTCTTCTGGACAAAACTTCGGCGCACTACTCCTCCCGCACCGTTTGTCCTAGACCCACGAATGAGGTGTCAAATCACATTTTTGGTCATATATATTTAACAAGGCTTTTACATTTGAAAACGGCACTTTCTGAAATGCTTATTCAGTCACAGCGTCACGTGTCGATCACAGATGATTAGCAGATCACCCCTGACCTCTGATAAAACACACTGCTCCGTGACGGCTTTGTGGAAGAGTCTTTAATGTCGCCGTAAAAAACAAACATGAAACATGCAGATTTTAAGCGTACAGCAAGACAGTGAAATATTCAGGACGAGATGGTAACACACAGTGAGCTAGAGCGTAACAGAGTCGTGCAGAATTCAGAACTGAAGAAATGAGTACGATCCATTAATGCGGTAAAACCAAAAGTCTAAACAGCTCGTGTGCAGAGTTTGAACGTGTTTATGAGTGATCCATGCTGACAGATGAAGCATTACAAACTACAGCAGATCAGTTTCTGTGAACTTCACTTTAATTAGAATTCGGCAGCCTGTTTGCGGCCTCAGTTTAGATTGAAGAAGCGAGTTGGGATTTGAAGCCATTCAGTTCAGTTCTAGATGATGCACAACACACACACACACACACACACACACACAGGTGTGATTCCCTTGACCTTTGACCGACGGAAGCGTTCATCCCTCCATCAGACGGATGACACCCAGACAGAGAGAGGGTTATATCATCTTGGCGACTGATGGCGGGGAGGTGAGGAGCACGTATGCAGGAGGAGACGCGTGAGACACTGAGACATGTCTTCTGAGCACACAGCTGCACACCAGCGCCAGCGTCTGAGGATAAACACACGCAGACGGTCAGAACACACACACACACACACACACACACACACACACACACACGTGTTTGAGAGTGAACCACACAGAGCTCCAGACGGACTCACCATGATTCCTGCCGTCCCCAGAAACCCTCCCAACACCAGCTGAGCGTTCGAGTTGAAGACGTCCTTGATCATGCTGGGACAGCTCTACACACACACACACACACAAACACACACACACACATGAGCGTCTGCACTCCTCACACAACACAGCCAGGAATCAGAGCAAGACAAACAAGAAGTGACTCACAGAATACGAGAGCTGCTGCAGGAAGCTGCCTTTTGGACAGGTGTCTCGCACAAACATCTCAATCGGTCCACCGACACCGCAGCAGTCAAACTGAAACACAAACACACGCCTGTCAGACC